GAGAATGTAAGTTATTTACTTTATATTCTTATGTTTAATCATATACAGAGAGCACTATATTCTCATTCTCTCATTTTGGGTCGAATAATATTAATTGGAACATTGAATCTGGGCCAGAAACCCTCCAATCAAACAATATTCCTGCATATCCTTGAGTGGGGATCATTCCACTTCACGCGCATAATATCAGAGCTATAATCTAGCTCTGAAAAGTGTGAGTACGGCTATTTTCACTATTCTAGAATCTCATTTTCATTGATATACTGTACCATTGGAGTTCCTGTTTCTGTTTCCCTTTCATATATTCTCCACTGGATCTGAGCCTACCATTGTGAAGATTCCACACCGCCAGACGTCCCAAGACTCCTTGTCTTCCCATAAGAACCTATTATTACGGACTCTTGATAAGTGTTTTGGACTTTTTTTTTATTGTTTAATTTTATAATTTTACACTTTATACTCTATATTATTTTATATTCTGCATATGTTTTATTATAATTTTTAGGCGCACTCTTATTCTTTTTACCTGTTTTTATCTTCTATTAACCTTAAACTGAGCCTGCCATGATAGACATAGGTTTGTAGTTTTCTAACTATCTGGCTTCAATAATGTAATACAATTAAGTATGACACTCCTCTCCTGCATACCACTGTTTGGAAACACTTTATGGTATGTTAATACAACTTATCTATGCTATATCTCCATTCTCTGATTTTCTGTCCAAAGCGGCTGCAATTACTTATTCTGGCTCCTTCTCTTTGTGCTGCTCTCACACAAAGCCAGTCCTTCCTTCCCCTTGCAAGCATTGCTTTCCATTAGGCTGAAGGCAGGCAGGAGGGGGATCCATGAACACAAACAAGCTGAGCACAGCCTTCTTATCTCTGCTGATTGGCACATACTGCATTGACAGGAGGAGTAAAAAGGTGTTTTTATTAATCTTTGATTTTAGAGAAATGTAGATTTCTGCTAGCATATTTATAGATTAAATGTAATTTGCTATTCTTTATGATTGAGTTGTATTTGTCATGTCCAATACTTATTTTTTTATAAATTCTTTATTTTTGTTGTGCGTAAGCTTATAACAATCGCTCGAGAGGTACCCCAAAGGCAATCCTCCAGCGCATTAAAACAGTTAAACATAGAGGTACATAATAAAACAAGCACATTTTTTTTAAGGTTATAAACAATCTGGTTTTATGTTGCTTAGGTATTGTTAGGATATGACAGAACTTTGCTAGAAAGTTGACCATCAGATTTAGCAACTTGCTAATGTTTGTTCAGGCTTAGACATTTCTATAGTAAGTTAAAAGTTAAACTGGCTTAAACTTGCATTGTTTTAGGTTCGCTATAATAAGCAATATAATAAGTATTTCAGTTGTTCTTGCTAACATTGCATTAGGTTATATCTCAGTGGGACAAATAGAGAGCATGTTTACTCTACGCTGTTCGTTATAAGCACTATGCTTGGTTACGCATAAACACATAGTAGTATTTTAGGCATTCTCGCTAACATTGCAGCAGGTTATATCTCAGTAAAACAGATAAAAATCCCCTCTAATCTGAGCTGTACTCTATAAACACTGTGCTTGGTTACATATAAATTGCTTGCTTAGCTCAGACAGGTGAGAGGTTTGCGTTGCCCTATCCAGTAACTGCATAAAAAACAACAAAACAGCAGGAGGAGAGAGTGCGCAATAAAGGCTGCCAAAAATATATAGGACTAAGTGGTGAGACCAAAAAATAATAGTGAAGAAAGCAAAATAATGTTCCGAGGCACTTTTTACTGGCACACCCATTTTTGTCCGATACTTGCTCTGTTGTCTAAGTAGTCGAGAGTTAGGGTTCTTCAGAGCAGGCATCAGGATATGTTTTGACCGTTTGTTCCTCCGAGTAGCAGCCTTGCTGTGGTGGGCTCGCGGGATGGTGTTCACCATGTTGTAATGGCTGGGTGTTATTTGCAGGGATCTGCCGTTTTCGGGGCTGTTCTGTTGCAGGCTGTATGGTAGGCGAGCACTGGGTCGGTCCGCTAATGAAGGTGTCTCGCTGGGTGGAAGGTGCGGTCACCCTGGGCAGGAATAGTCGCTGTTTGATGTTCTGTCCTATCGGTGCCACTGCTGTCTCTCGCCTCTTCGAGCCGCCTGTGTCTCGTGATGGTGGCTTGAGTGGTTGTGAGGATTGCCACGGGTTTTGCCGCTTCCCCATGTGGCGGGATCGGTCATCAGGAGCTGTCTTGCTATTAATAGACGCTAGGAGGGAGGTATTCTCCGTG